CATTCAGAAGTTTATCCCTATCTTCCTTCAGTTCTTTGATTTGTGTGTTCTTTAAATTCACTGAATTCTTTTATCATGTTTATAATTGTTCTTTTGAGTTCCACGTCCTATGTTATCTCTAGGGAATTCTAATTGTACTCCTCTAGAGGACTATTGGTACTTGGTGGGGTTATATTATTTTGTTTTTTCTTGTTTTCTCTGTGACCTTGACATGTAAATTTCTTTCAGTTTCTGATTCTTGTGTGAGACTCATGCCTTCCTTTGTTGAGTTTATACCTGCTTCTTTTTGTAAACTTTTTGTTTACTTGTTGGGCATGAAAAGGTGGTTGGTCTAGGCTTCAGGTTCTCTTTCTTGATTTTATATTAGAATGGCCTAATTGCTTTTGTCTTCAGGAGTTGCCACAGAGGCCCAAGTGAGATGAGGCTCAAATGTGCTCAGGCTGTCTCCTAAGGTCTGGGTCCCTCCAGGAAAGAATGCTGCCCTCAGGAATTTGGAGGCTGGGCTGGCCTGGGAGAAGTGCCCAGGATAGATGCTGGTCTCAGGAAGCTGGTGGCTATGCCACCCAGGGAAGTACAGGGAGGTGAGGGTGGGACCAGGCCCAGAGGATTCCTGGGGGCCGCAGGGAGGAACTGGGTTGGTCTGGATGCAAAGGATCAGGAAGTAGTGGTGGCTCTGGGTGGAGAGGTTAGCCCTTGTGTCTGGTGTGCCAAGAGAAGAAATGGGCCTGTACCCAAGCTAGGAGGAGAGACGCGGCGGGGGAGCTGGGAGGGTGAAAGAGGCTGGGAAAGTCAAGGTGTGGTGGGCACGCTGGATTTACCCAGGGAAGGTGCTGGGACCAGGATACCCAGAGGCTGTGCAGACCAGAAAGCAAAGGGAGATGAGGGTGGGACCAAGCCCAGAGGGCTCCTGGGGACCAGGAAAGGTGCTGGCACCAGGATGCCTGGAGGCTGTGCAGCCCAGGGAAGTAGAAGCCACTACTGACCTTTTTACTTTTTGTATTTATCAGCTGAAACTTCACATATAATTGTGTGATTTTCTTGACCTTTATGCTGGATAGCTTTAGTGTCAACTTGACACACCTGGGTTGAGGGAGCCTTAATTGGGGAATTTCCTTGATTGGACTGGCCTGTGACCATGTCTGTGGGGCATCATCTTGATGAATGATGTGGGAGAGTCCAGCCCACTGTGACGCTGAGCAGGGGCCAGGGAGCAAGTCAGAAAGCAGTGATCCTCCATGGCCTGTGCTCCAGCTCCTGACTCTAGGTTTCTGCCCTGATCCTACCTTGGGCTCCCTGATGAACTGTGACCTGGGAGATGTAAGACAAATAAACCCTTTCCTCCCCAAGTTGGTTGTGGTCAGAGTGTTTTGTCACAGCAATGGAGAAACAAAGACAACCTTGTACAAGTTTTAAGAACTGCTTTAGACTGTGTGATAAGTCTTGTATCTGGGTACTCTGAGGATTAATGTATATCATCCTTTTTACTTGGAATGTTTAGATTTTCATAGCTTTTTGAATGCCGATGATTTTGGTCTCTACCTTCGACACTGTGAATATTATACTGCATGGCCTTTTGGTCTTGTTACAGCATTTGGAGGATGTTGTGTTTGGCACCTCACCAACCTGATTTGATTCAGACAAGCTCTCCTGATTTGAGTGATAGTGAAAATCCCACTTTGGTTTTCTAAGTTTTTGCTACATTTATTGTGTCTGTCCTATTCATGAACCTGACACTTGAGAGTGCATACATGGAATTTCTTTCTTTCTCTGCCTTGGGATTCTCTTCTCATTCTCTCTCTAATCCCCAGGTGTCTCTTACCTGGACAGAAAGCCCTCTTTTTGCTTTGACTTACGTTTACCTGACTACATCACAGCCAGCACAGCATCCTCTAGAACAGGGGTCTGTCCTTGAGACAGATGTCTCACACTGAAGAGAGATGTACCAGTAGGGAAAGCTGCTTTTCTGCATTTTGATGCCTTTCCATAATCCACTTCTAACAGAAGGATTCTCACATAGTTCTTTTCCATATTTTGTCCAGAGATTCCAGCTATACGTAATGAAAGGTTTGGACAGTAGCTGGCCTCTGCAGTTTGGTGGTACTGGACTCTGCCTGACTTTTGCATTTCACTCTAGAAAACCTTCGCACTGTGTCTTAGGATCTCAACCAATTAAAGCAGCAGCATCTACCTAATTTTTATTCTCTGGCATCATTTTCAAGGGATAACATGGTGAACATCAGGCAGCAGTAATTGGTCAATAAATATTAATGATTACTTCTGTTCACATTTCCCTAAAACTGAATGCTGTGGGTTAGGATTACCAGAATAAAAAAAACCTAAGAACTAAAAAATTACGGGTTTAGAGATGTTAGCTACCTGGAAAATAATTTGTGATGGAAAAGATCAAGTCTTTTAAAAAGCAAAATACAGGGCTGGAGAGATGGTTCAGCGGTTACTCAGGTACAGTAGCACAAAGTGGACAAAGACAGTATGGAATGAAGTATGGAAGTATGGAAAGACAGTATGGAACAAATATTGTCATTTAAAAGGGTCAGAAAAGAGGGCAGAGAAGAAACAACTGCATCGTGCCCCAGTCCAGATCCCCAAAGCCAGTGTCTGAAGAAAGTGAAATTGCAACACTAGCAACAGGCCAAAATACAAAGCTACAGAAGCCTGATCTAGAGATTATTGAACAAAAATTTTTTTTCCAAAGGTTGCCTTAGGGGGCTGGAGAGATGACTCAGCGGTTAAGAGCACTGACTGCTTTTGCAGAGGACCCGGGTTTGATTCCCAGCACCCACATGGTGGCTACGAACTGTACTTAACTCCAGTTCCAGGGGAATCCGAAGCCCTTTTCTGACCTCTGCAGCATTGCACGGCACAGGTGCACTCACATACATGCAGGCAATACACTCATACACATAAAATAAAATATTTTTAAAAAAGTAAAATATTCCACAACAATTTTATATCCCAAAAGTCTTATCAAGAACTTGTCAATTGACATGTGAGGCATGAAATCAAAACAGGAAGTTAGAAGGTCAGTTAAGGCAACGTGCAACTGCCTCATAAAATACCACACTAAAGGCAGCGGTCTCAAAAGGCAGCAAGAAGCCAGGCTTCCCAATGACAGGACCCATTTGGGGAGCTGTGTATGTATGGGGAGGAATGTTGGGGGCGGGATGAAGATTCTCATTTCTCTTCCTCCCATTTTCCTCCCTTTCCAGATGGCTGAGAAAGAACATGAAACCCACCAAGGACCTCAAGTTGGTAGTCCAAAGGCTGTCGGAGTTCGGCCCAATCCACTCAGTCACCTCCTGTGGACAAAAGAGTGCTATTGTGGTGTTCAGAGATATAACTTCAGCTTGTAAGGCTGTGAGCGCTTTTCAGAGCAGGAGCCCGGGCACAATGTTCCAGTGCTCCTGGCAGCATCCATTCATGTCAAGAAACGTAAGACTTTCTATTGCCAAAAACCTACAGGAATTCTTAAAAGTTTTACAGAAGTTTTTTAAAAAGTTTTTTTCTTATTTTATTTTATTACTCCTCAGGGCTGGGAAACATTCTCACCATAATTGTTACATTAGTCATGAAAAAGGCGCAGTGAGCCTGTGGCGGTCACTTCCCTCTGCAAGCAACTGCTGCAGTGGTCGTCACAGCTTTGCTTTTCTGGACACGAAGCTCATGATTGCATTGATGCATTCCTCTGTCAGCCACTTTGACTGGAGGGTGGTGCACTCCTCAGCATTCACCGCATATAGCTTTTCTTTCTCACTTTTTCTGATTAACTCCTTGGAAATTCTCATGGCCTGATTAAACAAAACCAGTAAGGTTATGTTATTCTAACAGGAGTAGGATTACTCTTCTCGACTTCTACTGAAATTAACTGATCCTGTTAAATCTTACTAAGAGGCATGTGGGATAGGACACACTACTTTTCAACCCTGAATGTGCACAGAGATCACCCCAGTAAGGGTGTGAGGCAGGTCTGTTACTGTGCATTTCTAAATGGCCCCTGGTGGGCGGTGGTAAAGCTGCTGGTTCCAGGACCATGCACTCAGCAGCAAGAATGTAAGAACAATCAGCCACTAGCGCGCGCACACACACACACACACACACACACACACACACACACGCACGCATGCACGCACACAGGATTTCCAAAATACAATCAACCCAATTCCAAAGTAAAAGTGCTGGGTGAATTCTGTCACCTCCTCAAGCCAGCCCCATAGAGAACCACCCCTCTGCCCTTATATCACAGAAATGAAAGGTCTGATACTTTTTCTAAACATCAGCATTCCCAAAATTATAGTGATTTATTCATCCAAAATTTAGATGTGCTTAAAGTCAACTAAAGAAATGCCCTGTACTCTTTAGGATTATTCTCACTAAGACACATTCTTTTTCCCTCTTTGGAAATGACGTGCATGGCTCCTGCAAGTGAAAAAAACAAATACTAACATTTGGCGGGAGCTTTGCATATCTTTTTAGCTTGGTCCAGACTTCCTGCTGGAACGTGCTCTCAGGAAAAACTTCAGTAACAAGACCTTGAGCCCAGGCTTCTTTTGCTGTTAACTTCTTTCCAAAAATAAGCATCTCAGTTGCCTGGAATGAAAAGCAATAATAAGACACGAGCTGACTAAAGCAAGGCTTCAGCTGACCTCACAACTGAGCTTCTGCTGGAGACACAGATTTACTCATAATCCGTTGAGGCTGCAACAGGAAAGGTTTTGCAAAGTGTGCTGAGACCATGGCAGTTTCTGCCTCTGGAAGGGGTGGAAGGACAGCTGCTTCTGTGAGGGTCTATGGTGGGGTGGTCAGAATGAGAAGTCCAGAGAAGATATGACCTCAACCCACAGCAATGAGGGTTTCTGTTTGCACTGTACACGAGTACAAAAGAAAAAGCAGGAATATCAGAGAAATTATGGCCACAGGGTCAACTTTTTGAAGCTTTCAGGCACATTCCCTGGTTGCTTGTCCTAGTGGTCCAGCTCTGAGCACATTCTTCACCTGCCAAGGAACTCAAGTTACTTGTATTTGAGTGAAGAACTCGAGGATGACATATTGCATTTCTATAAAAACTGAGGTCATTAAGCAGATGCTGACTCTAGAGTTTCACTTTCTCTTCCAGAAAAGTAAACACAATCCCAAATACTCTGAAGAGCTGGTTTTGCTCAACTTTTCAGAGTTAAACCCTCAATAACAACTTGGGGCAAGGGACAATAGTTTGATGAAATCTAAAAAGTGTATATATATACTATATAGATGTATAATTGTGTGGGCATTCACAACAAAAAAATCTAAAAGTCCACAAATAGGCACCATTCCCACTCCCCTGTAAGATGATGACCAATGCCTGCTAACCCTTCCCTCCATCTTTCTTCTCTAGTACTTTCAAAATGTCCCTGGAGCCACTCCAAAGAGTACAGGCAACTAGATGTGCACCAACACAGGGAAAGAGCTGAGCAGCCCCGTGGGCACCTTGGGAGTCTTGACATGTAGGCAAAGCAGCTGGTGGAAAGACAGCAGGTAATGCCCCAGGAAGCCTCTCAACTCCTGGCACTTCACATGACTGACTCCCAAAGTGAAGTCACCATGTCATCTCAGTGGATGGTTGCTCATTCACAGAGCAGTTGGGTGGTCCCAAGCTGAGCAGAACCAGAGAGGCTGCATAGTCCCAGGCTTTCAATGTCACACAGCTGTGGAGGATGAGGTCTTGTTCTGCTGCTGGCACTCAGCACTAGGCTACCAGCTGCCAGCCCAGTGTCCCTCCATTAGGAGTTGCTGAGGTTTTCCCACTTTCCCTTATATCAGATCCTCTGATAGCCTGGTTCTGCTAGGTCAAACTCTTTAGAATTGCAGATCTAGTAATGAGCCTCTACAGCACTGCCCAGGTTAGCAGGGGAAAGGGGCGGGGAGGGGAAAGGGAGGGATGGAGGGAGGAAAGGGGGGGAGGGGGGGAGGGGACAGAGGATTGCTTTTGCAAGAAAGATGACACAGTAAATTTTAAGTTTAGAAGTTACCTTGGCTGGACCCATTATCTTCGGAAATGTGTAAGAAGAGCATGCTTCTGGGGTCTGGCCAAGGCTACTGAATGGAGTATGAAATGTTGCCTATTTGGATGGGGGAAGAAAAGAAAATAATTTCAAAATATATTTAAAAAAAATTTATGTGTATGACTGTATTGCCTGCACGTATATAAGTGCACCCATGTCATGCAATGACCGAGGAGTTCAGAAGAGGGTGTCAGATCCCCTGGAGTACTGGACAGTTATTAGCCACCATGTAGGTGCTGGGAATTGAACCCTGGTCCTCTGCAAGAGCAGCCAGTGCTCTTACCATGGAGCCATCTCTCCAGCCCCTACTATTTGATCTTAACTTCACAATTAGTGTGTGTATGTTTGAGACAGTCTTGCTATGTAGCCTAGAACTCACCATCTTCCTGCCTCAGCCTCTTAGGTGCTGAGATTACAGATATATGCCACCACACCAGCTTACTATTCTTAATGATAATCTAAGATTATGTGGTATAATATGTACACACAATTCACTTGTAGTGTGTTGTAAATGGATTTTTTTCATAAATACAGAATTATGGAACCACCACCAGTTCCAACATGGAAAATATTACACCAAAAGTTCCCTTATGCTTGTGGGCAACTCCCTTCTGCCTTCCCCATGCCTCCCTCATCTGCTGTCTGTTCCTGTTGTTACACCTGTTTCTAGAACATTACATGAATGGAAACCTACTGTAGACCTTTGTTTCTTGCTCCTGACACTTGGCATGAGGTCTGGGGGTCACCCCACCCACCCCACATGTGGGTATGTTGTCATTTGCTGATTTACATGCACTATTTCTAGTGTTTTGGCTATTATCAGTAAGGCTAATCCAAAACCATGGACTTCATGTAATTCTAACTTGTCAATAATACACTAATGAAGCTGAAAAAAAATTAAATCCTATTCTATCAAAAAAGAAGTGGTTTATATGTATGTATACAGGTCTCTGGGCAAACATAGGCTTTTAAATTTTATGGGTAAATACCTAGGAGTGGAATTGCTGGGTTGTGAGAAAGGTGCATGTTTATCTTAGAATGAGGGGCTGAACTCTTTCCCAGAGTGGCTGTCCCATCAACACTCCCACCAGCGGTGTAGGACAGCTCTGCCTGATCCATGTCCTTGCCGAGGTCTGCTAGGAAGTCTTTTTAACTTGATTCATGTATAGTGGTGTCTCACATTTTAAATTTCTATGTCCATAATGATTAGTTGATGATGTTGAGAATCTTTTCTTGTACTTAATAACCACATGTGCATCTCACCGTTTTTTTAGATTATTATTGCTGAACTGTAAGAATTCTTTAAATACACAGGTTATAAGTAGCATGCAAATATATTTTTGGTCTGTGGCTTATCTTTCCCTTTTACTTTTTTTTAATACAAAATCTTGTCATGTAGCCAAGGCTAGTCTCAAATGTACAGCAATCTTCTTGCCTCAGCCTCCCAGAATGCTGGGATTACAGGCATGAGATACCAAGGTCCTTTTTCTTTCCCTTTTTCCCTTTGGTGGGGGAGGCAGGTGGTCTCATGTAGCCCAGGCTGGCCTTGAACTATGTTGCCAAATATGACTGTGAACTCCAGATCCTCTAGCTGCTCTACCTCCCAGTTACTAGGATTATATCCACATACTATCATACTCAGCTTCCCTTTCCATTTAAGTTTTTAAATTTTATTTATTTATTGTGTGTGTGTGTTTATGTGTGTGGCAGTCAGAGGCGAACTTGTTGGAGTTGATTCTCTCCCTCCACCAAATAGGTCCTGGGGATCAAACTCAGGTCATCACTCTTGGTAGCAAGTGCCTTTACCCATTGAGCCACCCCACCTGGCCCCTCCCTTTCCATTTTTTAATGCTCCCTTTCTTTATGGTTTAAAGAGCCATTGTGCTTCATCCTCTGCAGGCTATACAGCTATGTAAATCTCCACATTGTCCACTTTTACATTAGATCCCGGATCTACTGCTTTATAAATACATCTTTAAAACATTTAGAGTGATTAGATTTGTTGGGTGAGTTGGAAACGTGCTTCCTTAATCTTTCATTTCTCTTGATTTTGCCTAGGAGCTCCTCTGACTGGGTTCAGATTCCAGAGTCAGGTTCAGTATTGGGTACTTAGAAGATACATGTGTTCATTTTTTTCTAGATTTAAGAAAAACTGAGACAGGATCTTAGAGTACAGACTGGCTGGCCTCAGACTCATGGCAGTCCTCCTGTCTCAGCCTCCCAAGTGTTGGGATTACAGGCTTAAGAACACACCTACCTATTTCAATGATTTTCTTTATGAATAATAAATACTTATGAAAGAAATTAACTTATAACTGATCTATGTAGAAGAATATTTAGATTTCATTTCCAACAAAGTATTATCTTTAATGCGTATTTGTGACAATACATAAAGACATAATATAGGCAGCATACAAATAATAATGTAAAATATTCTCATTAATGTCATTTTTCTTTTCACTGAAAAGAAACAGTATTTAAGAAAATACGCTAAGACAACATAGTCTAAAGAATATAACCAGAAAACTAAGAAAACTGACCATAGCTAAGGAACCATAAACAGGTATGTACAAACCTGACAATGAGCAGATATTAAAATGCTTATTTTCAGGAACAGAATGGCGGCTGTAATGAAGGGTTTAGGCTCTGGCAACAGATTGCTGAATGACTTTGGAGAAGTTTCTTACTCTCTTTGATGGTTTCTGCAATCTGTAAAACTGGTGTTACCTCATAGGGCTGTGTGTGCATTATGTGAAATGCACATCTCTGTAATGGGTATTTAAAAGAGTACCTAGCACATAGTGAGCATGCAAACATTTATTAATTTACAAAACTCACATAGAAAAGGTGCCACTGCTGACAGAGAAGCTGCTAGCATTGTTAACTGCTAGCTGTACTGATGACCACTACCCCTTAGACACACCACGGTAATGAACATTTTAATATGAGGTCAAAAAGCCCATCATTGAATATGGTATGAGTTTATGAAGCTAATAATAGCCCAGGAATCTCTTTGGTGGTGATAACCAAGCATTCTAACATGTAGTGGCTCAGAAGACCTCACCACCTCCTAAGCAGAAGATACCAGAAGAACCTAAGGGCTACACATGTTTATAATTCTGGCTAAGTGCTCTGAGGTCCAAGTGCTAAGACAACTGTTCATCACATCTGTGTTGAAAATGTCAAAACTTAGAAACCAACTAGGGTTTCAGCAGTCAGAACTGGTGAGATCTAGTAAATTCTATACATCAAATACTAGCACTGGTTTCTTACTCTCTTTGATGGTTTATGTCTGAATGACAAAATGAGTAACTGTTCAAAAATTATAAATTTAGTATGTATATTTAAGGTAGACAACATGTTACCAGAAATACATATGCAGTAAAATAACTGCTTTTGTGGAACCGATTAACTCATGCAGTCACACCCTAACCAAGGCCAGCTATAACCTATCTGCTCATTTAGCAGAACTCCTGGATATAGTACTTCATTATCGACTACAGTCCCCTCATTATACGTTAGCTCCTTCTGCCCAAATATTTGTTACTTCATATCCTTTGAACTACATCTCCCTAGTCCTCCCACCTGCACCCAACACTCCGTGAAGTATTTTTTAAAGGGGCTGGGGTTTCCTTGCTCATATTAGGTAAGTGCACCATCACTGACCTGTGGAGTATTTTTTTTTAATCATTTTTTTCTTTGTAGTTTCCATGTTTTTCAAATTTTATTTTCTGCTGACACAGAAAAATACTATGATAAGAATAAAAATAAGTGTTTAATGCAATGGTGAACACAGGCTGATCTGTGTTGGGAGTGAGGGCTGTTCAGAGTTTCTTATCTGCAAAGGAGGGAGCATGGTGAAGAGCAGCAGTCCCCTCTGCAAAGATGCTATTCCTTCCCTTGAAAGTTTTCAAGCATCTCCTGAGTATTTTTGGCAATATGAAAACTTAAAGCTGAATATTTGTTGTGCACTTTGATTAAAATACAAAAACATCAGAGTTGAGACAATGTTCACAACAATACTGGTGGTTAAGAAAATTCGATTAATAATGAAGGAAAAATATCTTATCAACTTAAGAACAAACTAAATTACTGCATTATATATCAACCCTATGTAATATACTTAATGCTAACTACAATAAGGAACCAAAGGAGCTCACTGACTGACCTATGTTTGTGAGAGCTGGCTTACCTTGTCTGATGCATAGACAGCATCAAACATCCCCAGAAGAGTGACAGAGATTCCCACAGCTGGGCCATTTACCACTGCAATCAGAGGCTTGGGAAAGTCTATAAAACTGTTTACAAAATTCCTACAGAAATGGACATAGGAAAACATTAAATACTCCAAACTTACACTCTCAAACTATAGAAATGTTTGTGTGAATCTGAGATTGTGTGACTCTGGTAACCCCTAAAGGGTTACCTCCCCAGAGACCCAGGATCCCTGTCAATGGTGTAATGGAAGCTCAGACTAGAATTCCTACAGGCTCAGCCCTGTTCATACTCTGTTTTCTGGGCAGTGAGTTCCAGACTGCAGGCCAGCTGTGACCGGAGAGATCCGGGTGGGTGACTGAGTACATGCTACAACATCACAGCACAGGGAGACTCAGACATTCAGAGGATTGAGATGGGAAACTGAGACCTTAGACATCCTTCTACACTCTTCATCACTGCTTCCTTCCAGTCTACTGCCAGGATCCATAGGAACCCTCTAGTCACCTGGTTGGATTCAAACTCTCAGCTCCCTCTCTCTCTTTCTTACATTTCCAGAGGGTAGGATGAAGAGGTAACAGCCATCAGGGTGATAGAGCAAATGCTTGTACTAATTGGGAATTTGGGGAAATATCTTCAAACTCACAACTGCATCAGTGCAGAGAAGTGGGCATTTTACTATTGCTCAACTAAATATTTTGATGCATAAGTCTTAGGGTACTGGGGCTATTGCTCAGTGGTTAAAGTTTTTGCCACTCAAGTGTGAGGACTAGAATGGAGTTGGGATTTCCAGAACCCATATAAATGTGGGGTGGGTGTGGCGGCCTGTGTGCAGTTCTGGCCTCAGAAGATGGAGGTGGAATCCCCAGGGCAATCCCCATAGAGGTAAGCTCTGGGTTTGTTTTCGAGATCTTGCCTCAGTGAATTAGGTGGAAGAGCAATCAAGGATGATTCCTAACATCAACCTCAGACTCCATATGCACACGGATACATGTGCATCCACACACATGCAAAACGTATGTGCTGGATAGCTTTAGTGTCAACTTGACACACCTGGGTTGAGGGAGCCTCAATTGGGGAATTGTCTCTATTGGACTGGCCTGTGGCCATGTCTGAGGGGCATCTTCTTGATGAGTGAAGTCGGAGGGCCCAGCCCACTGTGGGTGGTGCCACCCCTGGGCAGGTCAGCCTGTGTTGCATAAGAAAGCAAGCTGAGCAGGGGCCACAGGAGCAAGCCAGTAAGCAGCATTCCTCCATGGCCTGTGCTCCAGCTTCTACCTCCAAGTTCCTGCCCTGAGTTCCTACCTTGGGCTCCTGGATGAACTGTGACCCGGGATATGTAAGCTAATAAACCCTTTTCTCCCCAAGTTGGTAGTGGTCAGAGTATTTTGTCACAGCAATGAAGAACAAACTAGGACAACATACATACAAATACACACCGCAAACATACACATACAAATGGAAAAAAAGAATGAATGGGATCAGACAAATGACACTTACCTCAGTACAACAGCGCCAGTTTTAGCTGCCTCCTCCATTCCACCAGCGGCGCTAGTGAAGTTGGTTAGGTCATTTCCACTACTGTAGTAGTCACCATTTCCTGGAAATAGTAAACCAACAGAGTCCCCACTCCCTCATGTACTCACTCACTGTAGAGCTGCTGAGTTTCTCCTGAGTGCTGGGCTCTCGAGAAGGACAGTGACGAGCCTCATTTAGAGACTGGTGAACAGTTAGACATGGGTTTAAAGAACATAAAGAAGTGTAGATGTAGTGACAGAAGAGAGACACATTCGATGACTATGAAATGGGGCTGATCTAATCAGGATGTTAAAGATGGAGTTTTGTTTAGGAAGGGACGTTGAATTGAGATCTGAAGGAGAGGGAAGGCTAGCAGAGATGGAACAGCAGAAGCAGAGGCTCAGAGTCTAGGATATCCAGGGTCTAAATGATGGACTGAAAGAAGAGCCATCAGGGCTAATACAGAGAAAAAGACAGAGGAAGGAAGTTGGTGTAGTAAGAGAGTAGATGGATTGTGTGGGACTTTCCAGATTCCAGTAAGAATTTCTGTCTGTCTCCCCCCACCCCCTTTATTGGTTTCTTTTGATATAGGGACTCTATAGCCCCATCTGGTCTGGAACTTGCTATGTAGACCAGGCTGACCTCGATCTCCTGCCTCTTTCCATCTCTATTTTAAGAACCACCAGAGGTGTGTGCATTTATTAAAGCATAATTTGCCTACAATCAAAAAAGCTAGTTTTTCCCAAACCCTAGCCTAGGAACTACTGGCAACCAGCTGCTGCTGGGTGAGAGTCTTAGTTACTATTCCTGTTGCTGTGATAAAACACCATGACCAAGAGAACTTATAAAGGAAGAGTTTATGGTTCCAGGGCAATTAAGAGTCTGTCATAGCAGCTAGTATGGTGGCAGCAGGTGCCTGGTGCAGGAGCAGAATGCTAAGCAGGATCGCATCTTGAAGTAGGCACAGAAAGCAGAGAGGGACTGGAGATCCATCAAGGCTTAAGAACCCTCTAAGCCCAACTCCAGTGACGAGCTTCCTCCAGCATGGCCACGCTTTCTAAGACCTCCCAAAACAGTGCCACCAACTGGGGACAAAATGTCCAAATACTTGGAGCCTATGGGGGACATTCTTCTTTAAGGGAAAGGCTGACTAGACCCCAGTGGATGAACCTGCACTAAGGAACATCCGGGTACAAATGTTTGACTAGAAAGGATTTAACCTATATGGCAGAATGCATGAAATCTGTTCGGGGGGATCACTGGGGGCACAGATGGGGGAAGGGGTCTAAATTTGAGTAAGATATATTATATGAAATGCACAAAAATTCAATAAAAAGCTAGCTCTTCATGAGTTTTGTTTTGAGATACTCTTGTGTAGCCCAGGTTGTTTTCAAACTCATTACATAGCTGAGGATAACCTTGGATTACGGACTGATCTCCTGCCTCCACCACCTGAGTGCCAGGATCAAACTCCTGTGTCACCAAGCCCATGATGGGGATCAAATCCAGGGCTTCCTTCATGACAGGCAAGCACTCTATCAGCTGAAATACACCCCTAGCCCTCTTAATGAGTTTTGGCCATTGTAAATACTAAAGTGATCACAGATAAAGTGGTTTTCCCTTATCCTCAGGAATATGTTCCAAGTTGGTCCACAAATTCCTTAAATCGCCCATGTGGGAAGGTATATATGCAAATAGTATAAGATTTTACACAAGGGACTTGAGCATGAACGGTTTTGTATTGGTGGGAATCATGGGACCAATTCTCTGAGGACACTGAGGGCCAATTATACATACATTTCTAGGACCAAGTTTAATATATAAACTAGGTAAGATAATTGCAAAATTTAAAAATAACAATATGCTATATAAAAGTCATTTAAAACATACTGTTTGTTTTCTAGAAATTTCTGCTCATTGTTTTTGGACCAAGAGTGGCCACAAGTAACTGAAACCTAGGAAGGCAAAAACTATAGAAAGAGAAATTTGACTAAGAGGGGTTACTGTACAGAACACCCTAGAATGCTCTCAGGTGCTTTTCAAGCCCTACCCATTCCAGCTGCCCCATGGCAGTCACTTTCAGGCTCCATCAACACTGTAGACTTCTGCCTAACACTGTAGAACTTACATAAGTTGAACCAGACAGTATGCACTCCTGTATTTTATTGATTTTGCTGAACCATACTTCAAATGCTCATCATGTTTTTGTGTATATTAAGAATTTATTTCTTTTTATTGCTGAGCTTAATTCTGATATATAGATAGTCAAAGATCTATCTCTTTTGGACAACTGAATTGTTTTCTATTCTGGCTTTTGTGAATCAAGCCACCATGACTGTCATTGTATCAGTCAAGTCTGGATATATACTTTACTATGAGTAATTACCAAAAAGTGGTTATTTCTTATCTATGATATTATTGTACATTTACAAATTAGAGCACTGTGGTATTGGAAAAGATCTTCAGTCTTTTTCATTCAAATCCGTACTTAGTAAGGGGCCCCTAAAGTAGAAATTTAGTTAAGTCTTACCTGTAAAAACAGTTATGGCTGAGTTATCTGTGCTTGCAGTCTTAAGTGCTTCTATAATCTGGTTATACATCTGGTGAATGGGAAGGTAAAGAACAGTGAAAATGAGAGCCATGACCCAGGGGACCGACACACAGCATCGGTCTGAAAGTCTTTTCTCAACACAGCTCCAAGCATAGTAGTTTGGAGTACACTTTGAAAACCAAAAGGATAGCTCAATGTTCCTGAAAGGATTATCATTCCTTTGTCAATTACTCGGTACATATTATGTACAAATGTGGTAGACACAGCAGAGCCACTTTGTTCCAAAAGTGAAAAGAGATGTAGTTCTTGAGCGTTGGGGTTTTAACAGATTACTCTGCTCAAACAGGGCCAGGGTGAGAGGGGGTTATGGGAGAGCACAGAGTTTGTTGGATCTGTGGAGGTTATTTAGAGTGGCTGACAGGGAAGGTGGATGGAGAAAAGTATCCGGAAACAGCACCTCAGCTGCGGCCTCAAAGAAGAGTAAGTGTTCTGGGCAGTCTGAGAAGTGTGAACAAACGTCAGAATCTGGATTTCTGAGATGATGTACTGGGATCTGGGGACAGTGGCCTCCCAATGCTTCTGAAAATCTTGCCATAGTTTTTAGTGTATATAAGATTGGTATAGTTTTTACTTTTAGATTTCAATGTGGAAAAGACTGATGAAGAGGGTGAATGTTTATGATTATCAAGAAAGTGGGTTCTTCCATAAAAATAAGAAAGGATGAAAATGTGGACTTAATTTAAGTATGAATAACGATGGGGGGGGCAGGAAATCATCTTAGTATTCTAGTGATGGCGACACAGCAGGCAAGGTGACCAGCAAGATCCAGGGTTAAGAAAGGGATGTATTAATTTAGAATCTCCTGCTTACTAGCTATATGAACTTCAACAAGTTACTTTATGACCTGTTGAACTGTTTTCTTAAATAATGGCAACAGGGTCCTTGCAAAAATGAAATAAACCTCTGTGCAGAAAGTCCTGACTCTTGGATCCTGCAGTGTACAGCTGTACATGCCCTGCTTACATAGAATGACTCAAGACAAAAAAAACAGTGTTCTCAGAATTAAATGCTTTATCAGTTGGATGGCACATAGGCAACTTTATACAGTTCTTAAGATTTCAAATTAGCATGCTGTACCACACTGCAGCTTAGAGACTTGACTTTCAGTTCAATGCCAAGCATTGATAAACTCACTGTAATATCAAAGGGAAGAAGCTCAAGTGGTTATTTTATTATCATTCCAGTTCAAGGAGAAATTCAAAATTGCGCTGGGAAGCAGCTCATTCAAAGCAGGGCTGGTTAACACTCTGCTGAAGATGAAGTCTTTCCCTCTCCTCCACGAGAGAAGAAAAGACTTGGAAGGCAGTGATACGAAGATAGCGTGGGGAGTGTGTACTGCTCGTAGAAAGCCTCTTTTTATCTCCTCTCAATGTGTATCTCACTTATACTGATTCAACTGCCTTGTGCTTCCATTCATAGGAAAGCTTCAGCACCTTTGGATGAGTAGGACCTCCTGAAACTCAGAAATTCTAAACAAGGAATGCCCAACTCTGTTGATTGAAGTGACCAAAATTCCTAATCTTCTCACACAAAAATGGAAATAAAAAATTCTAGTATTTCAAGTGAAACAAAGAGACAAGGAAAAGAAAAGTAGGACCCACTCCTTGGCAGGTAACATTACCTGAAAGGTTATGGCATTTTTCTTGGTGGGTCGATTAAATGTGATCTTTGTGATGCCATCTTCAGAGGTCACCACGATCCCCTCAGACTCTGGGACTTTCTCATGGACTCCAGGCTCTCCCTGGCTAGAGGCTTCAGATGAAGGACTCAAACTGGACACCAGATCCACATAGTTCTGCCTGGCAGTTTCCTGAAGAGATGACAAAGAACTCAGCCCACTGTCAATAATAAGCATTTGGGGAAACATACGATGCTAATAAACAACCCTTGGCAATAAGAAAAGCAGAGGCTTTGATTCAGTAAAGGTACATCGAGATTTCAAAGCTATCAAGTAAAGTGGCCCATGCCTGTAATCCCAGCCCCTGGGAGGCTGAGGCAGGAAGATCATGAGTTCAAGGCCAACTTGGCTACAACAGTGAGGAAAATGAAAACAAATTTGAAAGGCTACATTGATAATGAATTGAAAAACCAAGTTGAATAATCTGGCCAGCAGTAGAACAAGTAAGTTTACCTTGGGCAGGCTGCCAAGGGCATTCCATGCATCCCACTTGGCTTTGTTGATGAAGTCAAACACACCTGGTTTGGGCATATTACAAGGTCCTTCTGTGGCCTGTAAAGAGGACAGGGATGATTGATGGCCAAATGTCCAACTGGGGACTTAAATATTGAAGATCCATAAAATTCAGAGGTAGCCAGAATACCTCTGCTAATCCTTTCACAGGGCATGAAAAATGATCTCAATTTTCTCCTTACCCTCTCTGACATTACTGCTGAAAACACACACACACGAGAGAGAGAGAGAGAGAGAGAGAGAGAGAGAGAGAGAGAGAGAGAGAGAGAGAATCATCAGAAAAAGAACAAAGAGATAAATGGTGTTATTGACCACCAACCCTTATAGTAAGATAACTGTGTATGAAAATAATGCAAGAGAAAGCCTTTGGGAAAGTGGTCTTTTAAAAAGCTGGAGCTGTGGTCCCCTCCTGTGAGCTGGAGCTGTGGTCCCCTCATGAGGGCCAGAGCTGTGGACCCCTCACATGAGCTGGAGCTGTAGTCATCTCCTATGAATTGGAGTCATGGTCCTCTCCTGTGAGCTGAAGCTCTGGCTCCTCCTATGAGCTGGCGCTGTGGTCCCCTCCTGTGAGCTGGAGCTGTGGCTCCCTCCTGTGAGCTGATGTTGTGGACTCCTCCTGTGAGCTGGAGCTGTGGTCCCCTCATATGAGCTGGCGCTGTGGTCCCCTCCTGTGAGCTGGAGCTGTGGCTCCCTCCTGTGAGCTGATGTTGTGGACTCCTCCTGTGAGCTGGAGCTGTGGTACCCCTCTGGTGAACTGGAGCTGTGATCCTCTCCTGTGAGCAGGAGTCATGGTTCCCCCCCTGTGAGCTGGAGTTGTGGTTGTGGTCCTCTCCCGTGAGCTGGAGTTGTGGTCCCCTCCTGTGAGCTGGAGTCCTGGTCCCCTCCTGTAAGCAGGAGCAGTGGTTCCCCTCTTGTGAGCTAGAGCTGTGGACCGTCCCCCCCCGCCCCTGGCCCCAGTGAGGTGGAGCTATAGTCCTCTCCTGTGAGCTAGAGGTGTGGTTCCCCTCCTATGAGCCAGAGCTGTGGTACCCTCATAATAATATTGACTCCCAGTCCCAAAAGGGACGACTGTAATGGACTGTGCTGGACCAGGTGCTCACCCACTGTTGAAGATTAATGTGTCTTTCAACTTTCACCAGAGAAGTTTCCTTATGCAGCAGATGGTGACTGACACAGAAACTTATGGTTTTCTAACATGTGGGGAGGAAAGGGCTGCAGAGCACTTACCTCTGAGTGCAACGGCCCCTGGCAGGTGTCTGGAGCACAAGGCTTGGGGATCATGGCAGAGGAGGAGTTGGAAAGACTGTAAGAGCCAGAGGTAATGGATGGCCATGGGGGGGGGCAGAGTTCTCCAGATGACTGGTCTGTTACTCATGTGAACTCACAGCAATGGTGACAACATACACAAGTCCTATGCAAGGTCCAGTGGATGGATCCACACTGGAGAACATATGGGGATTCAAGATAGGCTCTATAGGATTTATTATACAGAGAGTACATTGAAATGAGTGTGGGCAGGGGTAATGTGGGGAGGTGTGGATGGGAGAGGGGATATAAACGTCATCAAATTATACTGCATGGAAATTGCAAAAATTCAATAAAAATGTAAAAAAAAGCTAATAGTACATTAATTTTGTATTTGTGTTCTCATTTTCCCCCAATGAAAATACTGAAGCTATTTTCAATGGAAATTCACCAACAGACATTGGAAGCCCATAGGCGTTCTTTACTCCTATCTATGAGGAAACAGCCAGTAGCTCGGTGGTGGACTCCTGGTACCTGGGCAATGGGACTGAAAGCTGGTGGAGGTACAGGGTGGGCTCTCAAAGCTCAACTGAAGGACATGACAGGAAAAAACAACTAAATTTTGTTTGAGGGCAGGAGAAATGGGTGTCCTGAGATGAATAAAATACCCTACTCAGCTGCTTTTCAGAAGTAACTAAAATTAAAGTTTTCTAAATTTTGTAATAGCTAAAAGAGGACAGAAAAGGCTTTGAAAATCACAGGCAATGGGGGTTGGAGAGATGGCTCAGCAGTTAAGAGTACTGACTGCTCTTGCAGAGGACCTAGGTTAGAATCCCAGCACCCTCATGGCAGCTAACAACTGTAACTCCAGTTCCAGGGGATCTGACACCCTCTTCTGACCTCCAAGAGCATTGCATGACATGGGTGCACATATGCATGCAGGCAATACACTCAAACACACAAAATAAAAATAATAAATATTTTTTTAAAAATCACAGGCAGCAGAGGCTTTGATTTCTTACAAAGTCAGCCTAGAAGAGTGAGTCATCGGGGAAGCTAGAGGGATGGAAGTCCACAAGGCAAGGGGTTACCTTTCCCTTCCGACTGCTCTCACCTATGGCACCAGCTGTAAGGAAGTTCCCAAGATCACCTCCTCTCATTACTAAAAAGATTCACAGAGCCCCTGCAAGCTGTGCTATGCATAGTTACAGTCCCTCACAGAGAAAGGATACAGACTTAAACCAGTGAGTAAAGCCCACAGGACAGAGTTTAGAGCGGAAGTCAACGTGATGCTTCTGTTGTCCTCTTCCCAGGAGTCAGGAAAGGGGAATACTCCCAGGTTAATGGATTCATGACACTATTCATGGAGTATGGTCAATGAAGAACCATCTCTCTGCAGCGTCATAGTCCAGTCTTTGCCAGGGCTCTACCACACAGACAAGCCAGCCTAACCTAAAGCCCTTACCCTGCACCCCAAATTCACTGCTAGACTCCAGGCAAACGAAAATACTCCTACCAAGCATGATAATCCAAGGGCTCAGACAATAGCTCCCAAGGCCTGAGGGCAAAGTCGTTTGGGACAAATAAAATTGATGTACACAGTCATGGTAACGAGAGGCTCGACTGGTCGGTCACCTAGTAGAAAATTAGATAACCCAAGAGTCCAATCTTGCTATAAACATTCTAACATTCACAAAAATGAATGATAATATCCAATCAAACTGAATAGTTATTAAATTTCACTTGATGGACTTCACTTATTTTTTCTTGTTTTATTTCAATGAATCTCAGACATACCAAATCCCATGCTATTGTTCACACTGCATACTTAGTATACATTTCTCCAAAAAATCAATATTTCACTATATAAACACGGCACCATTACCAAGAACCATGGCAATACTACACAATAGTTGCTAAAATTCCGTATTCAAATCTTGCATATTGTCTCAAAATACCTTCCCAAAGGCTATACGCTAATCATTAAGAGTTGAACAAGGACCAACAAACATTGTAATATATATTTTAAATCTCTTCATTCTACAGAGATACTGAGGGGCTACTTTGTACCTTAATAGTCTTTCAAGACCTAATATAAAAAGCAAAGCAAAACTCATATATACACTCTTTAGAAGGGAGTCAGCCATGCACCCCAAACATTCAAGCTGCACTTTATAAGCGTTATCTACTTAAGGAGTTTGCAAAAAACATCTTTAAATAATGTCAGAGCTCAGGCCATTACCTGCTTATACAATGCATAGAGTTTTAGCTTTACTTCGTTTCCAGGATCCTTCTTCAAGAGTTTCACTTGATTCATTGCATTTTCAAAGTCTTTCTGACTGGCTTCCATTGTTGGTTGGCCCAAGTGCAACCCAGCCACTGGAAGACTAGCAACCTGCTGGAGACTACAAATAGTGGACTGTTTTCTATTTGTTTGTATTTCTGCAGCCCTACTGCTGATTGGTCCCAACCCATACAGATCAAAATGCTATGCTTATCTATAATACTTATCTAACCTGCCCCGACAAGCTAGCCTCAAATGATTCCTTGATAAAATAAACTGTTTACAGTAAACTTTATCTTTTTCAAAAGGGGAAAAGCTACATTATATTTAAATTTGGCAAGGGGCTTTTCTAAGCAGAAAACTAAGGAATCTTTAAAATGTCCACAGAAGGCCCAAGTACAGGCAACTTTCCATAGAAGGTGGTTCCAGCTTATTTAAAATGACGCATTCGTTTTACAAACAAATTGCAGAAACACGTCACTCACGCCACCGCTTTACGGCAAGCACCACCTTCTAGGTTTTGCTCGCTAGGCACAGGCTCTTTTGGGTTGTTACATATCCGTGGCTCTAGCCAGTCATTTCTCTCACTATGACAGCGAAAGCGAAGCCTACACGGAGAATAACACTCCACGTGCAAACGCGTGCACGAGCACTGCCGCCCTAGTGAGGTCACTGAGCAAGAGGAAGTACCCAGATGCCTGCAGGGGGCCCTGGACTGCACCCAGCGCTGCCGGGCCGCTCACCGCAAAGCGCGGTGCGGGCTTCAGGCCGGCGGAGGTCACCGGAGCGAGGCCCGGGGATGCGTCCATCCTTACCCTTCCGGACTCGGCGGAGGAAGGACACTGAGGTCACTCTTTAGAGCTCTCTCGCTGGAAAACCAAACGAGCTGCTGCTCCAGCTAGCCAGCCCAGACAGCAGGGCAGGGCGGGCGGGAGACCCCCGGGCTACTCCGGCCGGGCCGCCGAGGCTCCACGCTTACCTCGGGCACCAGCGCCGTGCAAGGCTACGGGTCACAAAAGCCATGGCTAGGGCCAGAGTGCTCAGAGTAGGGATTCTTAGGCCCGGCGGATCTGGGGGCGGGGCAGGGGCGGAGCCTGGACATGAGCTCCAGGCCGAACCAGGGACCTGGAGCCAAGGCACGATGAGAGCCCAGGGCGCCGGCGAGGGGCAAAGTCTGAGTTTGGAGTGGATACAGATGGGGCGGAGTTGGGGCGGGGCCCAGACGAGGTGGACTGGAGCCTAGAAGGACGCCCAGTGGAACCACTGCACAGTTGATCGGAGTCCCCGGGCGCGTGACCCGGCAAAGAGGACAGGGCGCTGGGGGAGGGTCGCTGGGCATAGAGGACTCGGCGCTGGGGGCGGGGCACTGGGTAAAGAGGACTGGGAGCTGGGGGAGGGGAGCTGGGAGCCGAGGAACGGGGACGTTATGGGTGCAAGGCCAGGGTCGCTGGGCACAGTGGGGCAGGCGCCTGGGTCCCGGGGGAAGGGGCACAGAGAGCGGGGAAAGAGGGGTTGGCTTCGGGGAGGGGGGCACTGGGCGCAGGGTGTGCTCGTGTAGGTTGCTGGGTTCAGTTATGTGGAGCTGTTTGGAAGAAGCGAACTTTTCACCGCTCTGGGGGAACATGTTGCAACTCAGGACTAGAGCTGAGGTGTATGCTTAAGGTGTCCCTTGCTCACTGATACCTGGATTCTTTAGATCACATAGCCAACGCTGTTGGACTTTTACGGTGATTGTAATTCTTTCAACACTCCTGTGCTGACATGGAAATTCAGAGAAATTAGGCGAGCTGCTCAAAGAAAGACTTTTCCAAGTGGGTAGAGTTCATGTCTTACATAAGTTGATTATTCTGTGCTGATGGCCCTATTGTTTCATCAGGCAGATCTGGATAATAGCTAATGAGAACAACAGTGAAAGCCAGCTGGAATAAGTTAGGCTTATTGCAAAGTTTTCTTCCAGATTTTATAAAATGTTAGTTGGTTGGCTAAACTGAGTTTCTCAAAGACCCTGACCCTGCTACTAAGCTACATCAGAAATTGCAGATAGGGGGAAATTTGTTGTTCTCCAGACCATGAAACACTTCTCAGAATGACTTTTAAAATCCCTGGCTGATACACATAGTTGGATGAGTGAAACATTTCACATCACCAAGTGAACTCTTAGGTTTATGCCTACTGTATGAGGATTTGGGAAACGAACTCTTCTTCGTAACCTAATATGTGTGTGTGTGTGTGTGTGTGTGTGTGTGTGTGTGTGTGTACGATTTACTTAAGTCATTCATTAGGGAACCAATAAGATAGTAAAGGATTTGAAAAGCCCATTTATACAGTCAACATAAAGAATGTTGGAATAGTAATACCCTACTCACACAAAACCATTTACACCCTGCCTGCTGTCATTGATTAAAGCTTCATTATGTGCTAGTGTTGAGTGAGGGGAGGTGGTTGAGGGGACAGAGTTTTCTGGCAGATCACCTTGGGTCTGCCTTTGGTCTACCAGACTTACTAGAACTAAATGGAATGGGTTCCTATCTTGGAAAAGGATGCAGCAGGCTAGGTGAGCACAGAAGTTATTTCCAAGGCAGTGTCCTTGCTCAAAGCAAGTGTGGAAGTTTTATTCAGAGAGCCTACATACATTCATATAGAGATTGGCCTATTTCTTAGCATGTTCAGTTAGGAGTACATTCCTGAGAGTGCTTAGTTTAAAGTCATGGAGCACATGCTTAAAAGATGGACAAGAATACCACTGGTCACACTTACCTGTAATGAAGTTTTAGCTGAACAAAGGACACTTTTGCAAGCACATTAATTTAGGAGCTTGCTCCTGGAGATGCCTGCCTTGCTTAGTGGCTAACAATACTAGGAGCAGAGGCCATGCCATGTAAACACACTGCTTGGCTGGAGACTGGGATTGAGATTGGGGTGTTGGTAGAGCAATTCTCAATGAAAGGGGCCTATTGAGAGTTAGGCAGCGCTCCACTGGAGCACAAAGACCACTGTGTCCATGCTAAGGAGTTTGGACTCTGCTGATAGTACTAGGAGTCACTGAACATCCATCAGGCATGCCTATCATCTAGTCCCCAGTGCAGTCATAGACTCCACACACCCAGAGGGTAATGCCAGACAAAAGAAATGCTAAAGGCAGTTGGCAACATGGCTCAGCAGGTAAAGGGATAAAGGCAGTTGCTGCCAATCTGACAACCTGAGTTCAATCCCTGGGACCCAGATGGTAGAAGGAGAGAACTAACTCCTGCAAATTGTCTTCTGACCTCCATACCTGCTCCATGGCACACCCATGCCCCTCCCTTCCTCTTGCACTCTAAATAATAAAATGTCATTTAAAAGGAAAGAAAAAGGGGCTGGAGAGATGGCTCAGTGATTAAGAACACTGACTGCTCTTGCACGGGATCCAGGTTCAAATCAGCACCCTCATGGTGGTTAACAATTGTCCATAACGCCAGTTCCATAGGATCCGGAATCCTCTTCTGACCTCTGCTGGCATTGCATGACATAAATGCACTTACATGCAGGCAGTACACTCATACACATAAAATATTTTAAAAGGAAAGAAAGGAAGACATGCAGAACACTTGTCAAGACCCCATCCAGAGCTCTCATTTCTACTCTACTGTATGATCAAAGTCTCTTGGTTCTTGTGGAGATCTTGGGGAAGGAGGTGCCCAGTTCAGTTAGATCTCACCTTAGAGGCTTGATTGCATGCGAGCAGTGCTGCCTAGGAAGGGAGTTGATAGACAGAACCCCAGACTTGGTGGTCACGAGAACCTAGGCCTTGTCTCTAGCTACACTGGATCTTAGGGACCAGGGTCTCTCCTTCACAGTGTGTGCTCAGTTTGGGTCAGATATTTCTTAAGGTGATGTGGTAGGATCTGTGATTGCTGAGCTTGTCTGCCATAATGATTGTTTCTATTTCTTGTATTTAATCAAATAATGTTATTATGGCTTCTAAAATTCTGCCACATCTAGCTGTGAAGAATGATTCTGACAACATCGCCCAATTAACATTGTAAGCTAGAGATCTGGAAGAGCTTGAGTTTCCTCTGTCTCACTGACATCTCCTGCCTCTGGTTCTGTCTCATAGCTGTGTCTTGGTTTTTCCTGTTTCTCTCTCTGCAAAGTCTACCTTGAAGCCCTCACTGTTTCTGGATTGCTGTTACTTGACCAGCACTGGCCAGTTTTGCTCTGAGTCCCACTTCTGCTGTCCATTCTCTATCTGATCCCAGACTGACCTTCCTAAATTGTAAACCTAACTGCTGTGGTCTGAACTGTCCCCCCAAATTCATGTTTGGGTAGCTTCATCTCCAAATTCATGTGATGATGGTATTTGGAGGTGAACTTTTGGGAAGTGATTAGGGTTAGATGACCCCCTGGGCTACTATCAGCCATGTTAGCAGACAGCAGAAAGGCCCTGACCAGATCCTGGAACCTTGATCGGTAAACTCCCCAGCTTCCAGAAGGTGAAGTAGCTTCTCTTATTCAGTTATAAAGAATAAAATGGATTATGATGCTGTCATGATATGTAACACTTCCCTGATCTTACTCTATGACTGAAATCTTGTGACTTATCTTTCTAAGTAAATCCTCCAAGTTTTGCCCATGCTGACTTATGTTGTCATCTCATGCTTTCACTTTCCATTTAATTAATTAATTAATAATCCATTCATTCTTCATTCATTCATTCATTCATTCATTCCTCTAGCCAGCCAGCCAGCCAGTCAGTCATTCAGTCAGTCAGCCAGTCAGTCAGTCAGTCAGTCAGTCAGTCAGTCAGTCAGTCAGTCAGTCATTTAGTTTCTTGAGACATGGTCTCACTATGTAGTCCAGGCTGGTCTCAAACAGTGATGATCCTCCTGCCTCTGCCTCCCAAGTTACAGAATTATAGACCTGAATGCCTGAACTTCTGATCCTCCTGACTTCACTTCCCAAGTGCTGGGATTATATGTAGTGCTGCTGCTTCTCTTCTTCCTCTTCCTCCTCCTCTTCCTCCTCCTGCTTATTTTTCTCTTCCTCTCTCTCTCTCTTTCTTCCTGAGTCAGGGTATTACTGAATAGCCCTGGGTAAGCTCTATGTCAGAATTGTTCTACAGTGCTGGAATTACAGGTGTCTGCCTATATGTCTGTCTTTCCCTTAATCTTTTAACAACTCACCCCTTTCACATGGTGTTCTAAATGCTGAAAAGGGACCATTCTAATGCTCTCTCTTCTTTTAGGTTCAAATGAGATAACTTGCAGAAAAATAATGTATCTAACACTAGCCCCAGGAAGTCAAGGACTAAATGCATTTTAATGATGGAGGAGAGGAGTCAGAGATGAGAATTCTGGAGGAAGACCCCACCCAGTGCAGAGAACTCCTTCCTATTGTCTCGCTGTACATCCTAGGTACCCCATAGTAATCCTTAAGCCCCCCAAAGATGGAGATTTGAGACAGTAAAGATTCCTCTGTTTTCCTCAAGGCCTGTCACTGGTGGCAGGAAATTGAACTCAGATGCTGCAGGGTGGGTAGCCTGAGGTTCCCCCTTAGAGACACAGTAGGGGTTGGGGGTTGGGAGACAAAGGAGCTTCATCAGAGACTTGGTGCCCTGTCCTCAGGCAACAGAGGAGTCCCACCAGAGACTCAGAGAGCCCTCTATTCAGCCACAACTTGGTTTTGACCTTTTACCTTAGGATGAGTCAGAGTGAAGCAGTTAGTGAATTTACTGATGAAGAAGAAAGGTAAGATGTACTTGAAGAGAGTCAAGTTCATGCATTAGGAGCAGAACACCAGTCAGTGCCTGGGCAGTAGCTACACATGTGACATAGGGGCTTTACATAATAGGGCTTTACATAAAGTATGTGCTGGTGGATTCCTTTTCTTCTCTATAGAATTCTGCCCTTGAGGAGGAGACAATTTTTAGGTACACTGTGCAGGCTTGCAGATGGACAAGGGAGTAGAAGTAGAAAAAACATTGATCAAAGGTATCCTTCCTGACACAGGTCGTCACAAGGAGGGTGCACTACGGTTTAGATCATCAGCATGTGGAACAGCCTTATCTATGATGTTTCTAAGAAAGGAGACTGCAGCTGTTTATGTAGTTATGGTTATGGACAAGCTCATTGATGTCATTCAGTGAAGTGGGAATTAGAATCAGGAGAATGAAGGGGAGGACTTCCCTTTCCCATGTCCTTCTGTTTCCTGACTAGCTGCCTCAGGCCCTCCATGAACAAATCTACTTCCTTCCACTGTCTCTGTCTCCCAGGCCTTCAACAGAGTAGCAAGCAACATGGACTCTTAAGTTCTGGTAACACTTATCATCCATTCTTTACAAAATCAATTCACTTTCTCTTTTTGTTTGATTTATCTATTTTTATTCTATGTATATGAGTGTTTTACCTGCATCTTCTGAAACTGGAGTTTCAGACAGTTGTTAGCTGCCATTTGGGTGCTGGGAACCGAACCTGGGTCCTCTGCAAGATCAGTAAGTGTTCTTAACTACTGAGCCATCTCTCCAACTGTAATTCACTTTCTTTCTTTTCTTTCTTTTTTTTTAAGTTAGGCTTGGTATCACCTTCCATCACAACACACAATGATTTTGGCAGAGATCCTAAAAGTAATATTCTTATCTACTTCTGGGTTTTCCTTATTCCAAATTGTTGTAATTTAGACAGCATATTTCAGAAATAGTTAACTCATTTGCTCACTTCCACCTAAATTCCTATACCTGCATGGTTTGTTAATTCATCCAAGCCTCTTTCACTCCTTTTGTGTGTGCTCAATGATCAACTTTCACCTATTTCTGTAGCAAAGAAGTATCGCTCAGGGGTCCTCCTCTGGGAAAACTGGGAGCGGTAGACACTACTATGAAATAAATAGCTATTTATTTTTCTAAACAGCCTCCATTTTCTTATTTATACAAAGTCCAATCTATAGTTTATCCAGAGTCCAGCTGCACAGAACAGAATGAGAATGATGGCTACACTACAGTTGGGCCAGGACAGCCACAGAGATAATCATAAAATATGTATTAAGCACAGTGGTATATACTTTATATTCATTCAAAGCTGTTCTTTCTATTGCTGTGATAAAACACTGACCAAACCAACTTGGGGAGGAAAGCGTTTATTTGGCTTACATGTCCTGATTACATTTCATCGTTGAGGGAAGCCAGGACAGGAACTCAGGACTGGAACCTGAGGCAGGAACTGGAGCCCAGACCATGGAGGAATGCTGCTTGCTGACTTGCTCCTCTGGCCTGAGCTCAGCCTACTTTCTTACACAACACAGGACTGATAAGGTTCAGAGAGCCCTGCCCCCTCACCAACAGGGCCTCACAAGCCCCGTTGATAAGCACCTTGGTCTTTGAAGTCAAGAGAAGCAGACTTTTCTCCACTGTTTGGCCAACACAGCAGGCTTCCCTTTTGATCTCTAAAGAGGGCAGGTTTTAACAGTCCTGCTACCCCCCCCCAACTTAAAAAAACAAAACAAAACATCTTCCTGCCTTCTGCAGGAAGCAGAAGCCTCCCCCTTTAAAAAGACCCTGTAGCAGGAGGCCTCCAAAGATGGCACGGACCCAGAGCCCTGGGATTCAGCGAGAATTCACTTCACTTCTTGGTCTGCAAATAGCCTGCCAAAAGGAGCCCACGCCTCTGTACCCTGCTCATGAGCCCAGTGACTGCTGACAGACTGCGTGGCGTGGACCGATCAGAAAATGATATGCTGACAAAAGGGACTCGGGGGTAGAGAAAAGGGAGATATATGTCGTGCCCCCTGCTGCATTAAACAAGCCTGCAGCACCTCACCTAGTGCTTGCTTCTACCTGACTCCCGGAGTCTGTGTGTTTGACTCCGCGCCTCTTGTCCCCCCAATCGGCAGGGGACCAGATCCAGGTTAGGGTCTTCACAGCTGGCCTGAGGAGAACCCGCAACAAGAACCCAGCTCGCAACCCGTGCAGACATTTTCCCTGCCCAGAAGGGAATCTGTCCCATGTGCTCCTTTGCTAATAAACTCTATTCTGATGGAGTTTTATCTGTGTCCTGGTGCTTTCTGCTGATCAACCATGGATTCATCCATAGGCTACTTTATCTATCAAGGACCACCTGCCCAGTCCACAGTGGGCTGGGCCCTCCCACATCCCTTGACAATCAAGAAAATGCCCCGCAGAAATGGCCATAGGCCGATCCAATGGAGGGAATTCCTCAGTTGAGGTTCTCTGCAACCAGGTGTGTCAAGTTGACAACTGAAGGTATTCAGCACAAAGGCTAAGGAGGATGTTAGAGAAAGGCACCCACGGATGGTAGAAGTAGGTGGCACCCTGTTCACTAAAAAAGATGATCTGCCATTCTTCCTTGTGTACTATAAAGAACTAAATTTAAAAATTCATCCAGGATGGAGAGTGGTTAAGGGCACTTGCTGGTCTTCTAGAGGATCCAAGTTTGGTTCCTATCACCCAGGTCTGTCAGCACACAACTACCTGTAACTCCAGCTCCAGGGGATTCAATACTGACTGCAATCTAGCTCTTGTGGGCATCTACACATATATGACAGACACACTGGCATTCACACACATACACATGAATGAAAATAAAAATAAATCTTAAATTTCAATCATAGTAGGTATTATAATACATGCTGGCAATTCCAGCTCTCAGGAGGCTGATGCAGGAGGGTTCCACATTCCAGACCAGCCTGAACTAAATAGTTCCAGGCCAGCCTGGGCTACATAGTAAGACCCTCCCACCCTCAAAAACTCCATTAATCAATCACCTACTCAAAAATTTAAAATTATTAAAAGTTATTGCTCATTATTCATCAATTCTGTATTCATGAATTTTCCTACTCCCTAAAATTTCTTTGTAATCTCCAAATCCATACTTAAAGGGCCTCCACGGCCATGCAGACATGCCCAGGGTGATGGAAAATTTGACTCACAGGAAGTGTGTGTCAAGGTGATGTTCAGTCTTTTTGATTCTGGTGCTGTACTATAAACAGGTGTCCTTATGGTCTAGTTAGCACAGTGTTTTTGGTATTTTCACTGGTGATTTTGCTGTGAAATGCATCCAAGCACAATGCTGAGTTCTCTGCACAATGCTCTCTGCTGTGTTCCCAATGGTAAGAAGGCATGATATACCTTATGTGGGAAACACGAAAGTTAAGTGGCATGTGTTACAACATTGTTGGTGTATTCAGTGTTAAAAATTTGACAGTGTACACTGAATGAGGTGTCTTTAAATAGAAACATATGTGAGTCAAGGATATGTATTCATTAGGTGATGAAAATGCTGTAACCAAAGGCTTAAAGGACATTACCCTCTATTCCCCTAGGAACATTGGTTCAATACAGTTATGAAGATTGGTTCCAGGACCTCTAGCAAATACCAAAACCCACAGATTCTCAAGTCCTTTATATAAAACTGTATTATATTTCATAGAATGTAGGTACATTTCCCCTATGCCTTAAATCTCTAGATCTCCTGTAATACCTGACATAATGAATATACTATATAAATAGCTCTTATGTCATTGTTTTTTCTTGATAATTTGTTTCTCATATGGTTACTACTTTATTTGGTTTAGAATATTTTTTATCCACTTATGGCACTAAATTTTCTTCCCTTTTTCCTCCTTGGGAAGTTCTGTGCGCCCTCCCAAGGCTCCAAGGCTCACAGACTAACATCAGTTTTAGCTCCGGTTGTTCATGGTCCTTTATGGTAGGGAGTGAGGGGATGACTTACAAAGAAACTGCCCAGCACCTGCGGCCATCCCCATCGCTTCCTCTCTGTTAACTTTATACCTTTTGCCAGCACCCTGTGAGCCCCATGGTCTCACCCCAGGTCTGTAAATGCCCCATCTCGCTTCCACACTTGCAGGATGCCCGCCATTCTCCTTGGCAGCCGCACACACTTCTTTTTCCCATTCCAATCTCACTGTCAGGCTAACTCTCCGAAGCTAACTCTAGGTATCGGGCTCCGCCCCTGGCTGGCTTAAACATTTTGGAATAAGTATTTTTTTAGGTTACACCACTGATAACGAAATTGGCAAATGCGTGACTTGTAGAGATGAAGGGTCAACTATATTGACTTAATCAGTGTTCCTTGTGGTTGGGAAAGATGAATTAATATGAATAATTCAAATGAGCTGTATGACCAGCTGTGTTAGCTTGGACTCTCCTAGACACAGATTCCAAGAAAGAAGTTTGCCTGGGAAATAATCCTAGGAAATAACTGTTTGAGAAGAGGAAAGTGAGGAAAGAAAAGGTAGGCTGAAAGGGTGAGGTGAGTTACCTGAGGGACAACTGAAGGTCAGATCTCCTGGGACCCCTGCAAGCTGATAAGGAGCCTGTGCTTCAGGGCAACCTTCCTGACAGGGATGAGGGCAAGACCTGCAACTCGCAACTCCTGTAGAATTTCTACTTTAATTTTCGTTTCCAGAAGATATCTTGCTGTTGTTGTTGTTGTTGTTGTTGTTGTTGAGACAGAATCTCCCTGTAGCTCCGGCTGGCCTGGAACTTGCTATGTAGACCACGCTGGCCTCAATCTCACAGAGATCCACCTGCCTCCACCTTCTGAGTGCTGGGATTAAAGGTGTGCATCACCAGGCCAGGCTGTTTGCAGAAGACATCGTGTATGAAATCAGTTCTCTTAAATTTGTTAAAGGGTTGTTATGACTCAACTTGTGGTCTAGCTTGGCGAAAGTTCCAGATGTCTTCAAAACATGTATTCTATCATTGTTGGATAGATAGTCTTTAAATGTCAGTGATTAAAAAAAATTCTTCTGTGGGTTTCTAAGAAGTATGTTGTTATTATCAAGCATATTTGTAGACATTTATTGTGAATTAATGCATCTATTTCTCTGTCAGTTTTTGCTTCACACATTTGAAGATCTATTGTTAGGCAGATATGGATTGATTTGTATGTCTTCTTGACAAATTGATCTTTTTATCATTACACACTGTTCCCTCTTTCTTGGTCTGCAGTCTAACATTTCATCTTAATAAAGGAATACAACAACTTTTTCTGGTCAGTCAAGTAGGTAAGTGCATCCATGTCGTGCAATGCCCATGGAGGACAGAAGAGGCTGTCAGAGCCTCTGGAACTGGAGTTATGGATAGTTGTTAGCTGCCATGTGGGTGCTGGGATTCAAACCTGGGTCTTCTGTAAGAACAGCCAGGGTTCTTAACTGCTGAGCCATCTCTCCAGCCCCTATATCTCCTATTTTAAGTGGGTTTGATATAGGCAGCATACAGGTTTTTAAAATTTTACTTCATTTATTTGTTTTATTTTGGTCTTTTTGAGACAGGGTCTCCCTGTAGTCCCAGCTGGCCTGGAACTCACAGATAGCCTCCTGCCTCTGCCTCCCTAGTGCTGGGATTAAAGGCATGTGCCACCATACCTGGCCAGGGCCAGGATTTTTTTAGAAATACAATCTAAGACAGGTGTGATGGTATATGCCTTTAATTTCAGTACTCAGGCATCTGAGGCAGGAGGGTTGTAATGAGTCTAAAGTCTGCTTGGCCATCTAGCAAGTATCAGTCCACTTGTAACAAAAGAAAATCTGACAACCTTTGCTTTTTTAGACTATTTATATTTAATATGAATACTAGTATGGCTGGACCTGGGCCCATCATTTTGCTATTTTTGTCTCTTCTGTTTTCTTCTTTCTCTGTGTGCCTACTTTGGGATATTTTTAAATTTATTCTGTTTTATCTGCTAACTCTTTTTGGTATTTCTCTTTGTATTTTCCTTTCAGTGGTTGCTCTAGGGATTAAAAGATAATGTGTCTTGTTTTCAAGTCGACTTAGAATTATTATTTAAACAACTTCAAATGGAACATAGACTTGAACTGTATAGCTCTCCTTCTCCCTTCTATGTTGTGGTTATCATATGTGTTTCAATTTTCCCACCTTTACAGTATTATAATTTTTGTTTTCAACACTCAAACCATTTCAATAACTTCAAAAATAAAAATACAATCAAGCATAAATTTGAGATTTCTAATGCTTTTTTTCCCCTTCACTTAAAAATTTTATTTTAGGGGCTGGGGAGCTGGCTTAGTGGTTAAGAGCACTGGCTGCTCTTGCAGAGGACCTAGGTTCGATCCAGCACCCACTTGGCAGCTAGCAAGTATCTGTAACTCCTGTTCCAGGGGATCCGACACCCTCTTCTGACCTCCATGGGCATTGCACCACATGGGTACACTTACCTCTTGCAGAGGACCTAGGTTCGATCCAGCACCCACTTGGCAGCTAGCAAGTTCTGTAACTCCTGTTCCAGGGGATCCGACACCCTCTTCTGACCTCCATGGTCATTGCACCACATGGGTACACTTATGTACATGCAGACAAAACACTTATACACATAAAATAAAAATAATAAATGAAACATTTGAAAAAAATTAAGTCATCATACCAAGTATTTGGTATCATGAAGGCAAATTTTAAAGAAGGAAAGATGTATTTTGCTTACAGGTCTCATGGCTCCATTGCTGAGAGGATGTGGGAAAGCGGGGCATCATGCAGAACATCCTGAAGAGCATCATCATGGCAGGGAAGGTGTGGGAGAGCAGTTGCTCACCTTATGACAGAGAAGAAGCAGAGAGAGCTAGGGAGGATCCTAGGACAAGGTATATCTGGAGCATGCCCCCAGAGACTTACTTCTTGCCATTAGCCTCTACCTCTACCTCACAATAATGCTATCTGATCATGAACCTATCAAGGGGTTAGAGGCTAGAAGCCCCTGATGCAGTCACTCTTCAAATGCCCATCTGTTGGCATCCAATCCAGGAGTATGGTAGGTGTTTCTATCATCTAGTATTTTGTTTTCTCAGTGTCTTTTAAAAAATATTTTATTTATTATTTTCATTTTATGTCTATGAACGTATTGCTTGCATTTAGGTCGGTGCATTTGTGTCCTGCAGTGCCCAGAAGAACTGAAGTTATGGAGAGCTGTTAACCGCCCTATGGGTGCTGGGAATCAAACCTGCGTCCTCTGCAAGAGCAGCCAGTGCTCTTAGCCGCTGAGCCATCTTCAGTCCCCCTTTTCTCAGTGTCTTAAAGATTTTGTCAGAGAAGTCATTCGCTTCCTTGGTTAGGTTTATCTCTAGGTGCTTTATTTTTTATTGAGCTATTATGAACTTAATGTTTTTCCTAATTTCCTTCTCTATGAGTTCATTGTTGGTATATATGAAGGCTACTGAACGTTGTATGTTGATTTTGTATCTTGAAACTACTGAAATTGTTTATTAGACCTAAGGGATTTTTGATGGAGTCTGTAGGGTCTTTTAAGTATCAGGTCATTTGCAAAAAGGCCTAGTTCGACTTTTTCCTTCCATGTTTTTAATTCCTTTTCTGTCTTTCTCTTGTCTTACTGCTCTAGCTAAGGCTTTTAGCACTACATTGAATAGTATTGGGAACAGTGGGTATTTTTGTCTGGATGTTGATTTTATAGAAAGTGATCTCAATTTCCCCCATGTAGTATAAAGTTGGCTAGTGGTTTATTGTATATGATATTAATTATTTTGAAAGATGTCCCATCTAGTCCTAATTTCTCCAGGATTTCTATCATGAAAGCATGATAGAACTTTATTAACTTTATCAAATACCTTGTCTGTAATGATCCAGATGATCATGTGACTTCTGGCCTTAAGTTTATTTATATGCTATATTATACTTTTTGATTTACATATGTTGAGCCAAACTTGAATCACTGACATGAAGTCTGCTTGATCATGATATGTGATCTTCTTAGTATGTTCCTGAATTCTGTTTGCAAATATTTTATTGTAAACTTTTGTATCTATGTTCATTAGGGAAATTTGTAATTTTCTTTATTTGTTGCATCTTTACCTGGTTTTGGTATCAGAATAATTCTGGTTCATAGAATGAATTTGGCAGTGATCCTTCCATTTCTAGTTGGTGGAACAATATGAGGAGTGTTGATCGTCCTTAAAGGTTTGGTAGATTTCAACGATGAATCCATCTGGACCTGGACTTCTCTTTGTGGGGAGACACTTCATTACAGCTTCACACTCATTGCTATGAATGAGTTGAAGTTATTTGTATCATCTGACTGTTGGTAGGTTATATGTATTTAGAAGTTCATCCATTTCTTTTAGGTTTCCCAGGTTTTGGAATGTAAGTCTTCAAAGTATTCCTTAATGATGATCTGGATTTTACTGGAGTCTGTTGCTAACAATAATTCCCTTTTCATCTCTGATTTTGTTAATCTGAGTCTTCTCCCTCTTTCTTTTTATTAGTTTGACTAAGGGTTTGTCAGTCTTACTGTTTCAGTTTCTTTCTGAAAACATTTTCCTTCAGATTCAGCTTCCTTTGGCAGTTTCTCTTGGAGTGGAGATACAGCTGGTTATGAGGACCCAGGGCAATCTCAAGGAAAGATATAAAGACTCTACCCAGTGTTTCTAGGTTCCTCGTATCATTAGAGAAAAAAATTCAGAGAGGACACAGAGTAAGGAAATTGGAGAGAGTTTTATTACACAATGGTGGGAGTTCTCAGAGTGGGCCAGTTTGGGCAGCTCATCTTATGGATAAGTTTTAATGGACTATTCATGAGTTGGGGTAGAGCTGGAGAGCAGGGAATTCCTGTAATAGCTGAGAGAGTGTTCCATATTATTGGAATAAGGTTTACACCCCCTTTTGGTCCTTATATAGGATTTTCAGATGTGTCACGGCATCAGATGCATGAAGGAAATAGCCCAAACTGCAATGCCAACAATGTGGAAAAGCCATTGTTATGACTGAAAGGACAGCTAACAGTCTTCTCAGTGGGCCCAGTTGGTCCCAGTAGGTTCTGGCAAGGTGACGTCTTTCTCTGTTGGGTCCTGCTAGAGTGCAGCTCTACAGTTGTGCTAGGCTTTAGCTGTCCAGCCTGCCTCAGGCACGCTGGCAATGATGTCACTTTTTCCTTCATCTGAGAATACCACATTGGACCTAAAGGGTATTTTCACTACATATAGAAATTGGAGTTGACATTTGTGCTGGATAGCTTTAGTGTCAACTTGACACACCTGGGTTGAGGGAACCTCAATTGAGGAATTTCCTCTATTGGACTGGCCTGTTGCCATGTCTAAAGGGCATCTTCTTGATGAGTGATGTGGGAAGTCCCAGCCCACTGTGGGTGGTGCCACCCCTGGGCAGGTGGGCCTGTGTTGCATAAGAAAGTAGGCTGAACAGGGGCCAAGGGAACAAGCCAGTAACACTCCTCCATGGCCTGTGCTCCAGCTCCTGCTTCCAGGTTCCTGC